AGAGCGTGGAGGAAGGTACTATCACTTACCCAGTTCCCAGCTTTGGAAAAGTTTGGGGCTTTTCCCTTCAGAAGTATGAGAAGTAATAGAGCCCAGATACTTGCATCCTTCTCCAACTACACTGTGGCTAAGCATCTTTAAGGATGAGTAAAATTAATCTCCTGTTGTCTGAGTACCAGCAGTTGTAATCACATACTGTCTTCAATATGAACAGTAATTTCTGATTCAGAGAATGTTTAAAAAAAAAACCAATCCAAAACCTGCAGCACTGGGCTTATAATCCTGAATGAACCACTCCTGGAAAATCCAAGTTAAAATAATCAACATTTTCTCCATCTCATTTCTACTGATAAAAATCCCCAGGAATGATGCTTAGTTTTTGAAGAAAAGAAGAAAACAGTGAAGAAGGAAGGAAGGAGTCCACTTGTATACACAACCTGGGCTTCCAAACGTGCATGACAAAGGCAGCAAAGTGTGCAGTGTGAGTGTGCTAGTGAATGCCACTGATGCAGTAGTCCAGAGAGAGTTTAGCCTGAAATGTGGAAAAAATTAATGTTGGCATGTGCAAGAAGAAAAAGGCAGCTCCTCTAAAGCCATAGTTGGAGGACCTGCTGTGGTGTGCTGTGGTCACCTGGTTCTGGTTTGTTTTTTCCAACTAGTGCAAGTGGTAGTTTGTGGTAGGTTCTTCTGACTCCTTGTGCTTCTGGTGGTTTGATGTACTTTTATATTGTGTCCTGATGTCAATTTCCAGAGATCATTACTTAATACAGAATCTGAGAATGATGATACAGTGTCTGTCTTGTGGGAAGGTCAAAGCACTTTCATAAAGGCACATATTACTGGTCTTCCCTTCTTTAGCGTGAGAATTGAGTCACAAAGAAGTTCAATGACTTGCACCAAATATTTCAGTTTCTCACTGGTTGCTGGCACTGAAATCCAGATCTTCGAAGTCGTGGTTAAACTGTCTTGCTGGTTGTCTGAAAGATTGTTCCAGAAGGTCCATAATGTGTACTCAGTAGTCATGCAATGCTCTGCCGAAACAGTCTAAAATGGGAAGCACAGTTGCTGGAAGCTTGTCCTTTCCTGGCAGCTACACCTCCCTCCCAACTCTCTGTCCTACTAAAACACATTGTCTGCCTACCAGGTACCTCCTCTGCAGGTACCTAGCACCTTCCAGCTTTTGCTTTGGTATGCTGCAGGAGATGCACTTCCACCAATCCTGAGTAGCAAGGATTGTAGTATAGCATCACCAGTCAGCCAATATTCTTGGGATTTTTTTCAAACATAATAATCTTTGATAAGAGTTGCCATTACTTCAGACAAAAAGTCATGAAACTGCAGCTAGTAGGACTCTGAATGAAGGACAGTAATCTACACAGAGCAAAGAGGACAACGTAGCTAGTGTTTTTTCTCCTTTGGGATCTTCCTCCACCATTCAGTGGAGCGAGGACCTGAATCCAGTTTTTTTTACTTCAAGTCCACAACTGCAAGTCCACCGTAATGCAATAGCCTGGTATGTCAACGTGGCAGAGCACGTTGCAGCCACAGTTGCGTCTGCCTGGCCACGTACCTTTATTGATCCTGACCTACGGACTTGGCTTTCTGGCTTCACCTCAGACTTGCCTCACCACCACGGCCTTGTCTGGTGACCTGGACTGTTGACCTCCTTTGCTTGTCCTTTTTGGGTATTACGGGACAGCCCCCTTGTCAGTAAGTTGCCCCCCTTGCCTGCCTGCCTGTCACCCTCAGCTCCTGGCTGACTTTCCCCTTGGAGCAGTCCCTGCCCTTGCTGTTCCCCAACGCACAGCCCCACTGCACAGCTCAACTTGTGTGTCTATTTTGCTTCCGATTCCCGTGCTGGGCTGGGCAGAGCTTGCTCAGGTGTCTGTGCATGCCACTGCTCTTCATTGAGCAAGCAGGCCAGTTCTCTTAGAGCTCGCTTAGGGACCTCCAACACAATGGTTGCACTGTGTAAAAGGGCCCTTACTAGTCTCCCATCTATTTCAAAATACTGTGATCACATTCTTTTCCACTTCAAACAGCGCACCATATTTGCATACTATGTTGATGATACCAAAAAAGTGCCTAAAATGAATACATTTTGACTACAGCTGGATGAATACCATCATTGCTTGAGGTACCTTAGATCATTGCACAGTGTTTGTACTGTGTCATGCCCTGTCATGTGAAGTAATTTTTCTTTAACAGAGCTTTACTAGGACAGGTACGTGGGAGGGAGAAGGCAGCTGGCAGCCAAGCTAACCGGCGGGAGTGCAACCCAGGCATTGCCTTCGGAAGGCACGTGTGTGGCTTACACCCACAAATTTTTACATAACCTAAATTAGGGTGGATCACTGGGTACTCATTTGCTCATGTAGCTGCCAGATAGTATTCTTTTCATCTAAACAAACCTGAGGCTGCAAGAATTCAGTACCTCAAAGTAGGCCTTTTCAGCATAACCCAAAGCAAATCAGTAAGTACTTTATTATGTAGAATACTCTACTTATTCCTTTGTATAAATGGAATTTTTTATTCTGTCTAATTGTATCATGTATTTCTATGGTGTTAGAAAAGCTTTGGGGCTATAGATGCTAAAAGATGATGAAAATCCTCTTACAGAGAGAACAGAGATGAGTAAAACGGTTCTGGAGAAGCTTCTACTAGCTCCCCAACTTTTCTCATGCAGCATTTCACAACCCCAAGAGATTTTAGGAAATTTTCCTGACATTTCTGAAGTGGTATATT